CTTGCGAGAAGCTCTCGTCTGCCGCAATAGTGTCCACCTTCAAATACGGAGCCTCCATCCAGAACGCCGTACCCTTGGTGGCGATGACAGAGTCTGTCTCGTAGTAGTATAGGTTAAAGGTCTCCTTACAGGATCCAGGCACCCGCGGGATGCTGCTGCAGTCTCGGACGGTGAAACGCATCTCCACGTAGATACGCTGAGCGCCCCGTCGTGCAATGAAGGTGGTGAGCAGCCAGTTGTTCTGGTTGGACTCAAAGACGTTGCACACCTGGTACGTTCGGATGGTGTTGAGGTTTTCATCATAGCCGCTTACTTCCTCCCACTGGAAAATAAACACAATAGGAGGTTTAGCACAACAGAAGGAACGATGGCAGATGACCATACATTATTAAAATGACATAAAATATAAAAAAAATAAAAGTTATTTGTGGGGAAATGCTTACAATGTAGAACTGGAGTCTCTTATTGCAAAAAAAGAATAAGACTTGTTTTTGTTGTTGTTGTTGTTGTAAATGACTCAGGGAATGAATATTTTAAGTGAATAATTCAATTACTTATTCACACCACACAAAAGACACTCGTCTCCACTTACTGGTGTAATGATGTAACATAGAAGGGCCACTGAACAAATCAGTGAACGAATCTGATTGATTCTTTTAGGTGAACTGAATCACATAATTCTTGTCAATTGGTAAATACATTGTACACAGTAATGTTCATTTTAGCACCCAGAGAATTTTCTGTTTTCAGGTCAATTGTGCGAAAAACCCTATTTTCAACTTAAAATTGCAAGAGGTGCTTGCTGAAGTGGAATAAAGATGAGAAATATCACTGTTGGTCCATTCAATGCTATCGATGTGGAACCATGGCATGAACTCAGACAGGTTTCTGCCTTTCATAAAATATTGATACAAATTGAGTTTCCAGAAACCTCTCCAACCCCATATTCCCCACCCAAAAAAACATCTAAAAGCTTTTAAACACTACATCACTTTGAAACTTTTTTTTCCGTCTCTGAGATGATGAAACCTTTATGGCCTCTCTTTCCAAGTTTCAGATCCCAAAATCTGTCTCCCTAATCACCTGAGGTGGGCGAGGAAGCCGCTGCCATCTGCTTCGGTCCAGACCAAGTGCGGCCAGCCACTTACCATTATAATATTACCATATTATAAAATGTGATGCGTAACAAATTTGAGATTATGCACTATCGTATTACAATTAGAAGTAAGTGGAGCAGTATATGGCTGCCCTCCTGCAACCCTGGTAAAACAGCACCACTGGCAGATTGTGAAACAAGGCACAGGCAGAAAGAAAGAGAGAGAGAGATAGAGTGCAGCCATGTTCAGACTGCTGCTGAAGACAGTTCTGCTGATGGTTGTGGACAATACAGTCTAAAAAATTAAAAGTTACAAAAAGGGCCCTTAAGCCAAATTATTGAAATATTGTCTGAAAAATACAGATTTTGTGTGATTTACACAATAAATGTCATTGCAGAGTAGTTTTACAGTTAAAATTTGACAGCCTTATAAGTATATATTAATGACATAATTAAAAAAAAAGGGAATTTTTTTTTAATTTCCTTTTTTAATTATTTATTTGTATAGTTTTGTTTTTTATGTTTTTTAATGTATTGTAACATTTTTATTACACCAGTTTGAAAACCCCTGCCATAAGTGATCCTTATTAAAAATGTTAATTTGCCCTACAATGAAAAACCTGCCATCATTCTCTCGCCCTCATCTCATTTGTTCATCTTCACACAGAATATTTGAATCATAAATGTGAATGAGATTTGACAGCGGTGGCGGAGGGCAAGACTTCCAATGATTAATAACTTATAATAACTTTGGTCTTTTCCTCACAAAGTCATCATGTGGCTTCAGAAGACTTGAAGTAAGTAATTCTGAATATTTTCATGATAATATTGGCACTTTTTGAAGCTTGATGGCCCCAGGTCACTGTTGGTTATCACTGCATGGAAAAGAGCAGCGTCAACATTTCAACCCAACATCTCCTTTGGGGTTCTACAGGAGAAAGAAAGTCATACAGATCTGAAACTATATATTTAAACTATACAGAGTAAATTTCAAAATTTTCATTTTAACCATAGTTGTCCAAACAGATACAATCCATGCAGCTAAAAGCCTGATGTTTTACTACTAATCCGATCTAAGTCCCTCAGTCCCAGCGGTGGACAGCTGTGAGGTAAAAGTAGGGTCATGTTGCCTGTACGTGATCGCTTGCTGCTTGAACCGTTCAGTTCACCGTTAAAGCTGGATAACAGGCACACCACCGCTTGGCCCTGTGGGTTATCTGTGCCTTTTAACAGAGCAGGCTGACCGAATGAACCATCCTACGATATCCCAGAATTCCCTTGAGGTGGCACAGCCGTGGGAGAGGGAAACAAATACAAGGTTTGTGAGTGGACTCTTGAGGGCTGTAAAGTTACCGCATCAGTACAGGAAGTGTGTGTGTGCACGTACCTGTGTGGGTGCTGTTTGTTTTGTCGAAGTGTGTGTGTATGGGATGATATTAGGCTCAAAATGATTAATAGATGCATGCACAATTATCCATGTACTGCATACATTTTATACATGTATCTTACTAACCACAAACAAATACCTTTCAATTTGAGTCTGTGGAATTCAGGATTAAATGATTGTGCAGCGATTTTTACAAATACAGACATGTTTGCGAATAAAAATGTTCTGTTCTGCATTAATATATCATAAATTGCTCATGCAAAAACGAATCCGTGCATATGTGGATCAGGTGACACGCATGCATTAATTGATGTCTAGTTCGAGTCGATCTTGTTCGGTTCATTTGGATTTTGAGACTTCATTTTCGCAGTTTACAGCATTTCACGTCCCCCACACACACAACTACCAACGAACAAGGCCCAGTGCAAGATATACAGTAGGTGGCGGTAATACTCCTAAGGAGTGAACGGCCATTGAACAAAAAGAATTAAGTGTGTGTGTATGGGATGATATTAGGCTCAAAATGATTAATAGATGTATGCACAATTATCCATGTACTGCATATATTTTATACATGTATCTTACTAACCACAAACAAATACCTTTCAATTTGAGTCTGTGGAATTCAGGATTAAATGATTGTGCAGCGATTTTTACAAATACAGACATGTTTGCGAATAAAAATTTTCTGTTCTGCATTAATATATCATAAATTGCTCATGCAAAAAGGAAT